ATATATATATATATATATCGGCTTGATCAGTCTCCGCGAGAGGGACTATTCCTCTGTAGGGGGAAGAAATACCGGCGATCCGGACTGGAGAACATCGAAACAACGTCCAAACAACCGTGACGCGACGGTATCCTTTCGCTCTCTTCTTTTTCTTTCTCTTCTTCTTCTTCTTCTTCTTCCTCTTATACTCCACTTGACGATTCGGCTTCAAGAGAAACAGCCTAAATCTTCCCTCGTCCGAAGATGCTTTCGAACATATCGTTTCTCGCTTCTCTCCGGCCAGGGCGCGTCTCTCTCGCTCTCATACGAAAAATAGCTCTTATTTACACGCACGCTCACGAATCACTCTCTTTCCTCTTCTTCTTATTTATATATTTATATATTTATTTATATAAGTATGTATGTATATCTTGTGTTTCTCTCGTCCTCTTTTTCTCGTTCTATAATATATATATATACACATATACGTATATATTGTATATATATATTTATTTTGCCCCTCTCTCTCTCTCTCTCTCTCTCTCTCTCTCTCTCTCTCTCTCTCTCTCTCTCTCTCACGTTTTGACTAAAATTCTATTAGCTTTTGGCGGTGATTCGTTACGGTTTTTTTTTCTTTTTTCTAAATATATGTATAGTAAGAGGGTTCAGCCTTCGTTTTCTGTCTGTCAGCAGGTGCGTATTTCGAAAGGGAGGGAGGGGGGAGAATGAGAAGGCCCGCTTACTTCGCGTCACCGTCAGCCTCCATGCTTCACCGGTGGCGGGCCAATACGACGACGATACCTGAAATCAAAAATATATGAAACATTAATATGTTGTCAACAGCTACAGGTATTTTACGCTCGGTGAAATTTCAATTATCATCACATATTTGTTAATAACACATTGTGTCATATTAGAAATATCTCGCCGCTAATTAAAATATCAAAATCCTAGCTTCAATAACCAAAAATTCTTATAGTAAGTGACTCTTATAGTAAGTGAGTTGGACAAGCCATTATAATCCTTTGTATATTAGATACAAGTCCGCATTTAGAAAGTATGATTTTTTTCAAATAATTAAAAATTTAGATACAGATTTAATTTTATTTCGGTAGATACAGAAATAATTTTGTTGAACTATCAAAATAATTATGTAAGAAACTCAAGCATGATAAGCAATATTGCAAAGAGTTTTGACATGCTGGCAATCGACTTGAGTGTCCTACATTTATAATTATAATTATTTTGATAGTATAACAAGATTATTTTTAGATCTGAAACCAGCTAAATTTTTAGATATTCCAGAAAATCATTCTTTTTGTGTATCTATTAATTGGAATTCTAATTCATTCAATCATAAAGGAATAAGTAGATACTTATAATATAATTAAATCTATCAAACATTATGGTCAAAATAACCAGAAATTCAATTACGATAATCAGAATTCTGACTGACAAAACCAGAACGCATTTTGAAGTATCTAAAAATTTAGCTAGAAGCAGATCTAAACATAATTTTGTTTGGACCATGAAAATAATTATGTAAGACGCTCAAATTGATTGCTAGAACGTCAAAACTTTTTGTAGCATTGCTCATCATGTTTGAGATTTCTATGTAATTATTTTAATGTGATCCAACAAAGTTATTTTCAGATCTATATCTAGCTAAATTTTTAAATACTTCAATAGAATCGTTCTTTTTGTATACCTCTTTTTGATACAACCAGAACATTATACTCAGTACATGTATTGGGTTGTCCGGAAAGTTCGTGTCTAACCTATATAATTTAATAAATGTATACTAAAATTTAAATTTTCTGCGTTTCAATTTTCCTTCAACATCGGCACGAACTTTCCGGACAACCCATACAAAATAAATGGAGATACATGTATATATGCATATATAAAAATCAAAATAGATCAGATTTTGTCTTGGAGATTTTTAGAATTTGAATACATAAATATCGAGATGCCCTATCGTGGCGCACGGCATAAAGACGGGAAGGCGCGCCATCATAAATTAACAATCCAAAAAATAGCTAAACGGCCCATTGTCATGCGATACTGAAGTACGTTTTACGTCCCGTGTATATGTTATACTCGTCGAGAATCCCACCGAAATCGTCCCGCGAGAGTGGTAACTAATTTCCTAATGCAACAAAGTTCATCGGTTTCAAGTAGCAAACTAGCAACCGTTACATTAGCACAGATTGTTGCAAGCCGGCGGCGTAACATCCACCACCGAACCACCACCACCACCACCACCACCACCACCACCACCACCACCACCACCACCATCACCACCACCACCACTACCTCCAGATGTCGATTTTCAGATGTTCGATTACGATTCACAACGCCCCGCGCGATCATACTCTCCGATATCTCAATAATTCATTCGCCACCTCCTCCTCTGTCCAGTCTCGGCTTATTATTATCCCCGATTGCATTCTTTCTACGAATTGCGCACATGACTGAATGTACGGCTTGGCGCATACATTTGGCCCGTTAAGGGAGGAAATCCCAGAATAAAATTCGTCACATAGTAAAATCTGGGATACGCCTTTAAATAGCGGATGGGGGTCAGCTTTTTGCGCGCATCGATCCGTGGTTGCGCGCTTCGCGCAGTGGCGGAAATTTCGCCGATAAAGACGAAGTCGTCCCCTCCCCTCTCCCCCTCCACACAACATGTGTGTGTGTGTGTGTGTGTGTGTGTGTGTGTGTGTGTGTGTGTGTGTAAACTGTTTCCCTTTTTCTTCCCAAATTACTTTAGGAAGTAATAATAAAATAAACAATCATCATCTAAGAAAATTATTTCCTCTCTCTTATAATCTCTTTTCTTTCCGTTTCTGATTAATCTTATTTTTCTTGAAAAACATAATACATTTATACTTATTAGGTATACAACTTTGCTTCCGCCGTTTTTTTCCGAAATTCGAGGCTTTATTGTAAAAAACTGGTTATACATTTATAATTCAAAGTATTGTCCATCGCTGGCTACTACTTTCTCCCATCTTTCGGGTAGCGTACGAATCCCGTCGAAAAAACTGGTCATCTTTTGAGGCTATCCACGAATCGATCTAATTTTTTACTTCTTCATAAGATCGGAAGTGCTGGTCAGCCAGGCCGTGTGCCATTGATCGAAACAAGTGATAGTCAGAGGGAGCAACGTCTGGAGAATACGGCGGGTGGGGTAGGACTTCCCATTTCAACGTTTCCAAGTATGTCTTAACCCCTTTCGCAACATGGGGTCGAGAATTGTCATGCTGCAAAATCACTTTATAGTGTCTCTCGTTGTATTGCGGCCGTTTGTCTTTCAATGCTCGGCTCAAACGCATCAATTGCGTTCGATACCGATCGCCTGTGATTGTTTCAGTCGGTTTTAAGTTCATAATACACTATGCCGAGCTGGTCCCACCAAATACAGAGCATGACCTTGGACGTCAAAATCACCGTTCTTGAAGCGACGAAACCACTCACGACACGTTCTTTCACCAATAGCGGCCTCACC